ATCTATGGTAACTTTTATTACAGTATATTGTTGTTTTTGTTTTCTTGGTTTTTTTGAGGAAGATTGGCCCTGAGCTAACATCTGTTGCCAGTCTTCCTCCTTTTTTTTCCTTTTTTCTCCCCAAAGCATCAGTAGATAGTTTATGTCATAGTTGTACATCCTTCTAGTTGCTCTATATGGGACGCCTCAGCATGGCTTGATGAGCGGTGAGTAGGTCTGCACCCGGGATCCGAACCAGGAAACCCCGGGCCGCCAAAGCAGAGCACGCGAAGTTAACAACTATGCCACCAGGCCAGCCCCTACAGTATATTGTTATAATTGTTCTATTTTATTATTAGTTATTGCTAATCTCTTATTGTGCCTAATGTATGAATTAAACTTTATCATAGGTATGTATGTAACTATCCATGGTTTCAAGCATCCACTAGGTGTCTTGGAACCTATCCCCCATGGATAAGGGAGGACTACTGTATTCCATATACCAGCTAACGCTTGTCAGAAACTGTAAGAGACAAGAGAGAATAGTTAAAATATTTTTAATTTGACCTGAGGTCACTTAACTCATAATGAGTACAAAGCTTTATTATAGATCTTAGTAAAATATTTAGAGAACTGTTCATCTTAATGATCAATAGATAGAAAAATATAGTTCTTGATTCAAATGTGACAATATTGATATCTCTGAAGAGCCCTGAACGCAGTAGATACTGAATTGCTCATAGAGTGCTAGAGTCAAGTACTCAATACATATAGATGTTTTACGTTTTCAAACAAGCATGTTATTTACACATTTTTAAAAAGCCAGTATCTCCCATACACCTCTAATTAGTGAATTAAGATATGGTACTTTTTAACTATTAGCCTACCCTCTGCCCAAGACACAGCTTTAATTATATTTTATAATCTTCCAGGAAGCAAAATAAATAATTTCTACTTTGCAGTCATATAATACCTGTAACTCATATTTTTCTCACCTTTACAAATGACTGGAAAGTACACAGCCTAAACCAGGGGTCAGCAAACTTTTTCAGTGGAGGGCAGAGAGTAAATATTTTAGGCTTTGCAGTTCCTATGGTCTCTGTTGCAACTATTTAGCTCTGCCATTATAGCATAAAAGCACAATACATAAATAGACATAAATAATACATGAATGAATAAGTGTGGCTGTGTTTCAATAAAACTATTTACAAAAACAGGAAGTAGGCTAGATTTGACCTATGGGCCATAGTTTGCCAATCCCTATCCTGAATATTAGATATGAAAAATCACAAATCCTCAAATGTTGATAAACTTATATGTATATTAGGGACCCTTCGTTCTTCCCATAACAATTTTCATATCCAAGTCTCAAAACATGTATATAAGCACTCACCCACGCATTGTATTAGTATAATATAGTGAAAATACTATGGGCTTTGGAGTTAGTCAGACTTTCAATCATGTGTTATTGTGAACTCAAACACGTTTCTTAATGTGTCTGAGTCTATATTCTTATCTGTAAAGTGAGAATAACAATAACATATATTTTGCCGGGTTGTTGTGAGGATTAGGTGAAACACTATACAAAGCTCTTAGCACAGTGTCTGGCACAGATGAGGGGTTCAGTAAATGGTAGCTCTAATTATTGTTCTCACAAAGTAACTTGAGGGTAGGAAATATTTCATCTTGTAGCATCCCTGTAGCCTCATACCTGACACATAGATTGTGCTCAATGAGTATTTATCTAATGAATGATAAACAGGAAGGTATAAATATTTGAAATTAGATCTCCACCTCATACATATGCCAACCGAAATTCCAGATGATTACAGGCTTAAATGTAAAGTATAATATCTAATAATAGACAATCTTAAAGTCACAGAATTTTAAGACTTTTGCCTACATGAAAAAAAAAAAGTAGGGAATACTGTGAAGACAAAACAGGACTTTCCAAGAGTCTTAATTTATAAAGGCATGGTTTCCAGCCATGGCTTTTTGACAAGGTATCTAGATTTACTTTAAAGGCTGTTGTTCATTCATTATATTCAATTATTAATTAAGTCCTTTCTATGTGCTGAGCACTCTTCTAGGTGATAGTAATATAGTGGTGATCAAAACACAATGCATATACTTGTAAAGTTTATAATCTTGGTGACATTCTCAAGAAAAAAACTTCTTAAAATTAATTTTTCATTCTTTCATTCAGTAGATTTCTTCCTCAAGGAGTTTTGTAAGGGAGAAAAATACATAAATACCTATAATACAAGCAGAGTGGGATGACTGTCATAAAAGAATCAATATATGTGAAATAATAATTGCTAACATGTATTGAACAGTTAATATATGCCATGTGCTCTCCCATAAATATGTTAACTTTTTCAGTCTTCACGACAGCCCTATGAGGTAAATATTACTATCTCCACTTTACATGTGAGAAAACCCAAGACTTAGATGAAGTAACCTATGTAAGGTTACATAACTAGTAAGAGCTGGAGCTAGAATTTGAACACTGGCGGGCTGACTCTAGATGCTACTCTCTTAATATTTTCATTTTTTTGCCTATGTGTATAAGTAATAGCAACTATGAAACATCAGCAAAATAAATATTTATTAAGTGTCTCCATGTGAAGAACTATACAGATACAGAGGTAAAGTATTATTAGAATTATTACAAGCTAACTCCAATCAAGAGAGTTTTTAATAAGTTCCTATCTTTTCTGGGGAACTTCTTTCAAATGTCAGCTAGGCTTTGCAATAATATATGGGTGTGATCAGGCCCACACATATGTGGAATCTTGCTATGTGACAGATAAGGCTTTACAAAACAATGGAGAAAGGATGGACTGTTTAATAAATTGTGCCGATATAACTTATTATTCGTATGTAAAGAGAATAAAATTAGATCCTGACCTCATACTACACACAAATATTCATTCCAAGTAGATTAAAGTCCTAACTGAAATACCAACTATAAAATTTGAGAATAAAATATAGGAGAATATCTTAATGATCTTGGGATAGGAAAGGATATCTTAGAGAAGACATAAAAAGCACAAACCATAATGGAAAATATTGGTCAATTTGACTACACTAAAGCTAAATACTTCTGTACCACAAGAAATAAAGTGAAAAGAGAGGCTGTAGCCTGAGAAATAATATTTGCAACGTACATAATTAATACAGGATTTTAATCAAAAATATAGAGAACTTCTATACTAAACAGCATTTAAAATAAATATACAAAAGTATAGCGATCCATATATGCATAAATTTTTAAAACAAAATGTTAAATGAAAAAAGCAAAATGCAGATTATGTGTAATATATGTACTACTACATAAAGTTAAAAACTGAACCTTCCTCACCAAAATAGAAAAAAACAAACGACCTAATGCCTAAATGTCCTCCATTTCAATGTTGTCCATCCCTAATATTATCATGAATAACTATAAAAGGGTTTGGGCAAATCTTCAAAAAAAACTTCAACACAATGTTTCCCTTCTTACCTTAGTATTTTTGTGCTTTCTATCTCTTCAACATTTATCAAACCATCTAATAATTGTTTGATTATGTATCTGGCTCACCACTAGGCTGAAGTACATATATAATAAACAGTAAATGATCACTCAATCAATAAAGGAATGTTGTTAAAAGACTAGGGGCAGTCATTATCAGTAAATATATAATGAGTGAGTGCTTTATGAAAGACACCTAATTAGATTAGTTAGAAATACAAAAAGATTAAAAACTCTTTATCCCCAAAGTTTACAATTAGAGAGAGAGAACAGATTAATAAAAAAAAATCAGTGGCAGTGTTTACAAATCCTTTAACAATAATTTTGTACTTAAAATTTAACTCTTTTATCTGAATTCTTTTTCGCAGGACCTAATAATTATTCAGGTTGTTTTCTCAGTGTCTTATATAGAGCTTAATAATAAGCTCTTAAAAACTTTGTAGATCCGAAGGAAGGAAACTACATACTAAGGAAATTTGAAGATTTCTCATAGAGAAAATTAGGGACCAACTGAGCTTTTAAAGAGACAGTAACATACGAAGAAATAGTCTAATGAATTCTTTATTCCATAAAAACAAAGATTCAGAGGAAGAACTCTTCATAAATATGACAACTGTTTTCTGTAATAATAGCATTTGGTTTTTCTCTCACTTCCTCCAGAAATTTTAACTTTTTAGAGGTTTAAAAATTTGATTTTACTTAAACCTATCCCCTTAGTTTGAAAAGAATGATTAACAGGGAGAAAGAGTATAGCCAATATTGTTCAGACTTCATTTTCATTTAACAACCTTCTGCTAAATAGTGGGTTTTAATCCAGTTTTCTCACATTGTCTTAATTTCATTGATGGATAACCAAACCCAATTTCATTGATGGATAAACACAAAGGTTAGTTAGTTGTCCAAATCCTGACATGTGAAAAATAAATGAAATTCCAAAGTCAGTGTCTATAAAAAAAAAGTTTAATTGTAACACAGACATGCCCAATCATTATATATTGTCTATGGCTGCTTTACTGCTACCTTAGCGAAGTTGAATAGTTGCAACATAGACCATGAGGCCCTCAAAGCCTAAATGATTTACCCTCTGGCCCTCTACTGAAAAGTTTGCTGAGCCCTGCTTTAGACCACATTACATCCTTAAATTAAGAACCCAGGCCACAAGATACCGCGTAACCACACAAACTTCTCATCAATTACTGTTGCCTTATGATAAATACAGTAGGTAAGTGTTTACGAGAAAGATTTTAGAAAAACTCTAAATGAAAAGTAGCCCCTTTAAAAAGACAACTATAGAAAAATGAATTTTGAAATAATTTATATTATTTCAATGCATATTTACATAAACCTGGCTACTTCCAATTGAATATTAATGTTTTGAATTGCTGATATCACCTTCAAGTTTTCTATACTGTTATTCGCTAAATTAGTCTATACTATGATAGCATTATATTTTTAACTTAGACTAAACTTTTTAAATTTTGAATTTTCTTTATTTTTTTAACTATAGATATCGTGTTGAAGGAATAATTCCAGAATCAACATCTAAACTATCTGATTTCCTCTACAAACCTGAAAACAGAGTTACATGGGATAAATCGTTGAAAGTGTATAATATGGTACACAAGATTGATTTGATAATTTGTTAATAGACTTTTACTATGTTGATATATTTTTAGTTTTATATCTTAGTGATTTGAGTTTATTAAACCTATGTTATGTAGACAATTCGTATTTCATAGATTCAAATTGAGTTGAAATCTTTATAAATGGCTTAAAACTTTCCTCTTTCTTAGTCAAGAGATTAATTTCAATTAGCTTTATTTTGTTTTAAATGCGTACCACATTCTGAAGCTGGTCAGCTCTTTGCAGATGTGTGCCTTTGGTTATGAGGGGCCTGAACTCATGGATTCACCTCTTCCATTAAGTGGAAAAAAAAAGATTAAGCATGCCTTGTTGATGGGAAGTCAGTAGATTTATCTTAGTTATAATTTATTAGACAACAGGAAGAATGCAGACACATACTCTAAGGACTTAAGAACAAATACCATGTAACTTTTTTTTTAAGGGTAAGGATAAAGTATGAAATAACATTATACAGATGGTTGTGGTTTTAGAAACACTTTCAAATACATTATTATCAGTTAAATAGAGATTAAGAGAGAGAATAAAAACAAAGAGAAAAGAAAAATATAGGTAATTGGAGTAGAAAGTTAAAGTCATAGAGGTGACAGAAAGGAAGATGGAATGTAAGAGACAAGTAGGGCTTAGAAGGGGAGAGAAGAAAAGATCAGTATGAGGTGAGGGTGAAGCTCAGGAGGAGAGAAAAATGAATGAAATGAGAGAGCAGGAATGATAGGTGGTAAAAAGAGGTAGAAACAAGGAAGAAGAGAGAAGTGGGGTAAGGGATTCTGAACTTTGGTGCAGCACACTGTGGGTCTCTTATTTATTAAGACTGCTATACTTTATGGTATGTAAATTATACTGTGAAAAATTGAGTCCTACATTTTTGATTAATAACTTTATTAAATGGTAAATGTGAATGTTGGAGTAAAGCAAAGTTTTATGATTTTCACAAACAATGGCATTTGTAAAATTCCAGATCACTGTGCCTTTGGTTCTTTGAGTCTCCAGGCTGCATTCCACTCATCAAAACAAAGAAATGTCCCACATAAGTGACATCACCTTATCATTTATTTAGAACTCTGTAGGTTAACTTTACCTCCTTTTATTAAACTGTTTTAAAGTATGGGAGGGGGAGAGGTTGTAGCAAAGCACAGGAAGGTAAATCAGTTTCATCTTGTAGAGAGGCCCTGAAGTTCCTATCCATAAAAATCATATGTCCATGACCCTCTTGGGATTTGAACATTCAGTTTGAGAAACATGGTCCATCACAAATGAAAATCCAAACACTGTACTGTTTCATTCATGATTGTGTGATACTAATTACACAGTTCTATTAGCACGTCACATATTTCTGCTGTTGCTGCAAGTCAGCTGTAATAATGGAAAGAATACTAGACTTAGCATCAAAAAACTTGAAACAGATTCAGAGAAATTATGTCACTTGTCCAAGGTCACCATAGCAATATGAGGTAGATTTATGCCTCATCTCCTAATTCCAAATTCCATCCCCTTTCCAGTACACCACAGTATCTCTGAGTAGCATTACACTGTATGAAAATTATTTTACCTTACTATGAATATTTATAGTATTTGTCTCCAGGGGTGTGTTTTAATTGACTCATCCACCTCATTGGTGAGGGAGTTTCTGCTCTAGGGTTGTGGGAGTGATCAAACACATGACACCCTACACAAGACAGATGAGAGCAACAGCAGTTTATTAATCATTAATCACAGCCCACGGGAGGAGGACTGTTATGACTTTGTGAAATTAACATTTGTAAAGTGAAGCACAGGTTGTCGGATGGTGAGCCATGGTTCACAAAAGACCATAAGAGAAATTAAAATAGAGAAGTTCATCATTCACAGGTCCTGGAGGAAGTACATGGCATGCCTTAAGGGGCCATTTGGGGAGGTCAAGGCAGGGTGCAGGCAGAGAGGCAGGACCTGAGGCACACGCCTCTGCTAGACTCTGTAGGTGGAGTGCTTTGGGGTTCCCGGGCTAAGGCCATATTGATGAATTCAAACCAAAAAGAGCAGGGTTTTGGTTAGCTCCGTGGAGGATCTTATCTAAGGGGCTCACAAGGGGAAGGCCCTGGGAGGCAAAGGAGACTGTTGATCACAAGGGCTGTTGGGGAAGTCCTATCAGGAACCTACATTTGCTTGTGACTCTGCAGGCTGTTATCTAGGGCATGTGCTTGCATGAGGGGGCTAGTGTCAGTTTAAGGTTGCACAGCCTGCTTGGCCAAACAAAATGGATGCTGAGGCAGCAATACCATGGAGTAGCTTAGCTAAACTCTCAAGGACACACCATGCTATATAGTGTGAGAAGGGAGTTGCGCTCAAGAACAGAGTGAATAACCTGCAACGCAGGCTTTGTAGTATCCAGAGGTTGAGGTGACCCCTGATTCCTGCAGGAGGATGTGATTGGTTGTTGGAATAATTCTGCAGGCTAGCAGGGAACTGAAACCTACTACTAGGGCATGAGTGGGAACTGTTCTTGATCCTGTCGATAAGGAGGATTGTTTGGCTAAGAGTCCTTATCTGTGGAAACAGAGTGGGGAGAGGAACTTGTAGTTAGGCCATTCAAGACCCTCCGGACTTCCGCAGATGTCGAGGCAGCACATAATATTGGTCTTTAATTTTAGGCCTTGAACCACAAGGGGCTAAATCAGTATATTTTTCAGAATATATTACCTAGCCAATGTGGAGTAGTAGAAACAGTACTGTACTGGGAATCAGGAAACCTGGGTTCTAGTTGTGTACTCATCTCGAGTTGTGCACGTGATTTAATCTGTTAGGCTTCAATTTCTTCATCCAAAAATTCAACGAGCAGATGATATCAAGATCCTTTCTGAATTTTCTGCACTTATAATTATATTAACCACTTATCAGATATATGATTTGCAAATATTTTCTCCCATTCTGTAGGTTGCCTTTTTATTTTGTTGATCATTTCCTCTGCTGTGCAGAAGCTTTTTAGTTTGATGTAGCCCCACTTGTTTATTTTTTGCTTTTGTTGCCTTGCATTTATAATTTTAGATCTAATGTTCCTCCAGCACTGAAAATGCAAGCTTATTTGGTGGTAAGTTTTTAATACTTCAAAGCCCTGCTTTTTTCACATAGAGGCCACCCACATGCAGTGAAATTCTTTGGGGAGCAATACAAAGAATAGGTATGAAATAATTGTTTCAATCTTTATGGTTTGATTTGTTTCAGGACACATTCATATGTCATACTATTACACAAAGTTTTGCCATGGGCTCAATTTCCCCCCGAGAGTTTATCGACTTAGTGTACTTCAAGCGCTGTGAAGGGAATATGGACATTATCGGTTGTAAGTTGAAACATTTTGCCTACATTTTGGAATGACTATGAGTCATTAATATTTCTTTCCTTTAACTCCCAGTTTGGAAGAAACTATATGTTCAATTAATTCTTTATTATTTTATTTACTTAGTGAGCCAATAAATACATCTACAGTGTAGACAAGCCTGACCTTTTACCCAACTCAGGAGGTGCCGTTTACATCACAGTCAATGATTATGGCATATCCTGGCCTTGTTGCTGCATATACCCTGCAGCACTGAGTACAAATAGATACTTGTAGGCTAAAACTTGACAGCACGCATTTTGTAACTACTAAGAAACAAAATTAATCTTGGGATATATAATTTTATATTTGAATTGTGTATAATGGACATATCTGGTAATTGATAAAACTCCTGCAGAAACTTTCACTAGATGGGTCTTTACATACATGTATTTATATTTCTTTTAGAAACTGGAGATTTTGATATATCCTTAGCCCCTCAAAAAATGTGTCACTCTGTAAAATGCCAATGTATAATCATTTCCTAACTTGTATTATTCACTTAAAACATACCAGTTCATATACAAAGATCTTTGGACTCACACTACTGAAGATAACTCATGGTAGGACAGTGGCCTAGAGCCCTGTTTTTCTCCATAATTCAATTTAATCTCACCATTTATCTGAATAGCTTTTCCTACTGTAAACTACTGGGGGATATGGACAGGTGAGTGTTGTTAATTGCTGTTTTCCAAGAAGGTTTCTGTTACTCTGATATGTCTGTAGTATTCTAAGTTTCAGAGTCCAGACTGAGTCATAGCTCTGCTAATAGCACTCACTCAAACAGTTAGCTCTGTTGTAGCATACCACTAAGGACTGATGTTCATCACTTTCATATAGTTGTCTCATATAGTTGTAATTTAGTTGTCTCATTTTTAAATGAGGGCACATGAAAACATTCACTGCCTACGACACAAAATACTGTCTGTCTGAATCATAGATCTGTTATTTTCTGTATTTTAGAAGAAGACTATTTCTATCTCATTTTTAGTGGACAGAGGGAAAGTGAAAAAGAAATACAAAAGTTAAAATCAACAAATAGTAGTAACCAGTCATTCAGTGATCACTACTGAATTTGCTTTAGACAATTTTCTTTCAATGAATTTTTGATGAATGTGATAGTTTTCTTCTTAGTGTTTCTTTTGTTGTTGTTTAGCTTACTATGCACCTTGCTTTGAGCTGAATATTTTGCATGCATTATTTCATCAATGAGGAAACTGAAGTTCACAGAGATTAAGTTATATAGCTAATAAGCAGCTGAAACAGAATTAAAACTCAAGTCTTTCTGATTTTCAAAAATCTGTGCTACCACACTATATGCCTCACAAAAGACCCATACTTGTTTATGGCATATAACAATTTTTTTTTTAAAGAAAGACAAGCACCATCTCCATGTTTTAAAATGAGAAAAAAATATGTTAATATAAATTCTAGCAGTACCATTACAGCAACATAATAGGCTCTGTTAAGATGATGAAACAGGTCATGAAATGGAAAATTCATTCAACCACACTTGTCTCCTAAGCTGGTCCTAAGCTAGTGTTTAACATTGTATTTCCCACAGAATTGATTGCTTATCATATAGGAAAATCCATCTTCTCTGACAAGAGTGGAATTCAATTGCACAGAATAAACATATATTTTTAAAAATATTTTTAGAAAGAATATATATAATTATCATAAACTTAATCATAATCAAATCACCTCTCTTCTACATTCACATACAATCCAGTGCTGCATAATTCCTAAAACAAACTCTACTGATTTTTAATTACACTTTGAAGTTAGCTACAGGGAATTGGCAGAAAAGTGTATTTAAACTATCTTTATTGACAGACCAAATAACCACATCAAATATTTTATTAAAAAAATGATTAACAAAAAAATCTATAAACCCACTATCCTAATAGAATAGTCTTTTTCTTTGTGATTTCTTCTTTTGCTTCAAATCTCAGAAAGTAATTAAATGATACTTTTAACAATTTTTCTTGTATGTAAAAGGTAACAGCATCGTTAGAAATGCTAGCATGAAAAAGTTTGAGAGGACAATAGTGCTCATACTGGTATTTCCTCAGTTTTGGCCTGTGTATACATTCATTGTGTAAACATACATACACATGTATAAAACAATGCCAATGCTTATAATAACTAAGTTAAATGCTATGTCATACATTTTTAAAAATATGCTACCAGAAATAGAATTTTTCATCTTTGTGGAATAGTTTTCATTTTAATCTTTTTTTAAATCACTTAGCCAATAGTGTGGATTTTCCAGCATATCCTCCATCTTCAAATTACATCCGTGGTTATAACCATGCTTGTGGCTATATATGTTCACCTCTGCAAGAGTAAGTGTTACTTGCATTTATTTATTTTATTTTAGCATTCCAGTTCAATTTGTGATTTGTAAACTAAAGAATTCTTAACACATCAGTAGAAATATGTGCCAGCATATTCTATGGGGAAAAATATTGCCCCTAAATGCAATTTTTAAAATAATTTTTATAAGTATTTTCATCATAAGTATAATCAGAATGAATAATTTCCTGTAAAGTATGATTTGAGGTTTCTAGGACTAGTCACACATTCACAAACATATCCCCCCTGGTTAAACTTAACCTGATATTTTACATTTCTCCATTAGAGTCACTTCTGTGAATTATTAAGAAATTTTTATGAATTAAAAATAAATTTCCCTAGAATTATAATATACTTACATTATCAGCAATGAATGCTTGATGTTGAATGAATTCTTTCCAATGGACTACCTACTGAGAACAGATACTCATAGAATGAGACATTCAATAGGTAAATTCGGATAAGGGAAGACCTGGAGAAGTCAGAGATGAGTCGCTGCCTACAGGTGGCCAGCCTAGGGATAAAATAGTAACGTAAAATACACATATTCTGTAAGTGCATGTACATTAATTCAATGTATATCATTTCACAAATTCCTTAAGTTTTCATTTTGGCTAAATGATTTTATATTAAGTAAAATACATTGGGACATAAAAACATGTAAAATTGTATATTGGTCAGATATAAACTTCTCAATATGTGAAAAAAATATTTATGTGAAGGAAGTCAAAATAAAATTACATTTTAGACCTGTATTCCTTAATATTTTCTCTACTGAATTAGAGAACTAAAAGAAATTCACAATTATTTACAGTAATAGACAGGACCAATGGTGCAGATGATGATAATCATCTGCAGCCTGCATGAGGATGATGATGATGTCTGGTCTTTCTACCTATCTGTCAATTTTGAGTCTATGCCAATACTTCATTCTTGACAGCAAGACAGAAAAAAACAAGGGAAGGATTATTGCTCCAAATCAGCTAGGTAAATCAACTGCTGGCGGGGACTCTAGTTGGGAAGCTACACACCCTACAGTGTGCTTCACAGGCAAAGTCCCCTTCTTGCACCTTGTCGACTTTCCCTTTCCACTGCAAAAAAACATGAGACAAAAGCTCTGATCTAGACATCCCATCTGGGGTGGGAACTCTGCCTAGATTTTGCTGGAAAAAAGATATAGTCTCAGAGAACAGTACTGACAAAAAAGTGATTCTTTTGTACCTTCTCTTTCTGTGCAGCCCAACATTTTGCACAGCAAACATTTGTTATTAAGTCATGTAGTAAACTCATGAAACATATTATCAGTAGCAAAGGTGCCTTCCAGTAAATATTGGAAAGGCTTTCTTAAGTGTGTAAAGCCCCAGTAAACTCAGATAGAGACTTAAGACCATATGAACTGCTCTGAGTAGTCTCAATCCAGCCATTTGAGGCACTGTAAAAACAGTCTAAACTCTGCATAGAGAGGGCAAGAAAATGGACACTCACATGGTTTGTTGGAGCAGTGGTCTTCATATCCTCTAAAAGAATTCTGTAAAACCATATTCTGCCTTGCACATTTTTAAGTTGATGTTAAAATTTTTCATAGGATTAAATTAAGAGGGTGCAATTTCCAAAATACCCTAAATATTGACAGTTTAAGAAAAATTGTTGTATCGCCTTTGTAAATGTATCCAATAGAATCTAAATACCATAATAACTTGAAACCCAGCATTACATTATCAATTTCAAAATACATACAACCTTTAGCAGTCAGAAATTTTAGTCATTCCTTTGCTCCTTGAACCCACATTTTTACTCTTTTTCCCCTCACATAATTTTATCCTAATAGAATATATTTTATGCTTTGAATTATTTTATTAATCATTCTATCATATTTCTCTACAAAAATAAATATTTAAACTTTAAAATTCGTTTTATTTCCTGTGACCATAAGTATCTAAATGTTAAAAAATATATATGTGTGCTGGATTAAATTGTTATTATTACGTGTTGATCAAAATAAAACTATATTATCAAATATGTTATACAATTATTAAATATAAAAACAAACTGTTATTAGAATAAACACATCTTTTATTATTAGCAAACCTTAAATAGCACTTACTATGTGATAAACAATTTCACTATTGACTCATTTGGTCCTCACAATAACCCCATACAGTAGATAGTATTACTGTCCCTATTTTGCAGCAAAGAAAATGGAAGCCCAGAGAGATTAAGCAACTTTCTCAAGGTTACACATAGGTAATAGCAAAACTCAGCTTTAAACCAATTCAAACTGGTTCCAGAGTCCATGCTTCTAACAATTACGCTCATTTAACTGTGGATTGATGTTATTAATAAAATGAGACAACATTTAATATCAAGTCTACTCCTACTTTGCATCTTTATAAATATAAGCACTGAGAAACTTTGTTCACATAAGTAAGTGGGTTAAAATGGAAAGAATATAATTCTAACACTGTCATTCAATCCCTTGAAATTCTTCTGAGTTACACACCATAAATCTCATAGCGATCTGTAATCAAAAACTATTTTTAATGGCCTGTCAGCTGACAACTCAATTAGAACCTTAAATTTTATTGAAAGCAAAGAATTGAGGATATGACTTGGTAAGGATTTATTACCCAATCATTAGTCATTCACTTTCTCAACTCACTTCCAATAGATCAGATTTTCCCTTTGGCATCTCAAGGATTTTTATACGCCAGGGTAAAGCACCATAGTACTGTTCAGTACTATTCCGGGGGGATGACAGTTCTGTAAAGCAACAGAAGTGTGATATGAACAAGCTGGTGGGAAAGCAAAAGCCTACATCTCCATCAGAGACATATTCTCAGATCAGTTTAAGGAAAAGGTACATATGGAAATTAGAGATTTGAACATTTTTTCCCTTAAATGTTATTCATCCTCTCATACCCCTTAGAAAGCCTTCACATATTCCAGTTTAAAGATCACTGGGTTAGAATATAATACCACAGTCTTCTTGGAGAGTAATTTGGAACTAACATTTTAAAATGTTAAATGCACAAAAGTTTTGAGCTAGAAATTCGATGTAAGTGTTCATAGAAGTGCAAATGGATACATTACAATGATGTTTTATTGCAGCTTTATTTATAGTAGCAAAAAGTGAGAAAGAACCCAAATGATAGTCATTAAAGGACTGGTTAAATAGAGTATGAAATACTTTATACAGTCATGCAAAACAATTAACCTGATCTGTACGTACTGACACAGAAAGAGGTGCATGATATCCTACTAGAGGAAAATAAAACTAGTTGCAGTAAAATAAATATATCTCATTTTTGTAAAAAAAATGTACATGTGTGTATATGTGGGGTACATACATATGTAAATATGTATGCTATCTTTGATAGACAATAGTCTGAAAAGATACGGTCAAAACCATAAACAGTGATTATCTCTAGGGAACAGAATGAGGGAATAATTATGAAAATTCTACAGTTTAAATTTTCATAAGCATACATTATTTTTATAATTTTAAAAAGCCAATAAAATAACAAAAAGGAAAAGCTGACTAAAACTGAAGACTTTAAAAGATAGTCTGAGTATATGCTGAATATTTTTATGTAGAATGTTTATTGATGAGAATGCAAATCTCTCTACCTTCTTTTCTTTCCTTCCTTCCATAACTGTTTATCCTACCATAGGCACTATGAAGGGAATCAGTGGTGAATAAGGCAAGAATCCTGCTCTCTATAAGCTTGTAAATTCAATAAATAAATCTAAAAATTCTTTGTATTTTTAACGTTTCCTTTGTTTACAGGAACCCAGCACATTCCAAACTAGTGATGTTTATCCAGACAGAAATGAGAGGAAAATTGTCCCCATCAATAATTGAAGCAACCATGCCTTCCAACTTAGTGAGCTTCATCCTCAATGCAAAAGATGGAATAAAGACACACAAAACTCCATCAGGATGTGGACGTCATCATAATGGGCATTCATCATTCCTAAGGAAGAAATGAGGCCATTTACAATGAGGCCATATAAAGTCATGTGTGGCAGTTTACTTTTAAGTCAATACGCATAAACACTGTTGAACTATTCTAGACGGTATTCTTGTACAAATTACTGAAGGTACTTTGTGAAAATGAGAACTTGTAAAAGAAAACTGCATTAAATATAGTTTTTAATCTCATATAAGAATGATCTTGGTGGGGCTGGCCTGGTGGCGCAGCGGTTAAGTGCGTGTGCTCTGGTTTGGTGGCCCCAGGGTTCGCAGGTTCGGATCCCAGGCGTGCACCGACGCACCGCTTGTCAGGCCATGCTGTGGCAGCATCCCATAGAAAGCGGAGGAAGATGGGCACAGATGTTAGCCCAGGGCCAATCTTCGTCAGCAAAAAGAGGAGGATTGGCATTGGAAGTTAGCTCAGGGCTGATCTTCCTCACCACACACACACAAAAAAAGAATGATGTTGGGGCCGGCCTGGTGGTGTAGCAGTTAAGTTCACGCACTCCGCTTCGGCGGCCCAGGTTTCACTGTTTCAGATCGTGGGCACAGACCTACGCACCACTCATCAAGCCATGCTGAGGTGGAGTCCCATATAGAGTAACCAGAAGGATGTACAACTATGACATACAATTCTCTACTGGGGCTTTGGGGAGGAAAAAAGGAGGAAGATTGGCAACAGATGTTAGCTCAGAGCCAATCTTCCTCAAAGGAAAAAAAAAAAGAATGATGTTAAATAACAAGTGTTCTTAATGCACTTTTATCTTTTGCTTTTTTTCCCTGGAAAATGCTCTGCATAAGAATGAATAAGATGCAACTATGACATACAACTATCTACTGGGGCTTTGGGGAGAAAAAGGGGAAAAAAAAAGAGGAGGATTGGCAATAGATGTTAGCTCAGGGCTGGTCTTCCTCAGCAAAAAGAGGAGGATTAGCATGGATGTTAGCTCAGGGCTGATCTTCCTCACAAAAAAAGAAAAAAAAAAAGAATGAATAAGAAAGCATATACACAGAGGTCAGCATTAATTGAGGATTAAAATATATTTTAAATTGTTTTTCCTTCACTTACTGCTTACATTGATAACTGTAGGAAACCTAAACATAAAAATTGAAAAGAATTCCATTAGAATGTATGGCCAATGATAACTAGAACTTAAAATTGAATGAGTCATGAGTCAATTTCTGGTTCTGGCCAAGATGTAGTAGGCCATTCCTCCCAAGTCCTTCCTCTTACAACAAAAAGGCCCTGCATATAACACAAGAGACAAGCACAGGAAGACTCAAGCATAGGTAGAAAGAAGGCAAACTGCCTAGGGACCTTGGGACTTACGGAACGACATAGCAGTGAGTTCTCCGGCTTTCCTTACTGCCTCCCATATATTCTGGACAGGGCACTGCAGACGCCTCTAACCTGAAACCACCAACAGGCAGGAAGAACAACAACACAAAGCTTCCTTCCAACAAAAAGCCTGTTCCTCCTAGCCATAGGAGTGGCTATGAACAAAAGGGTGGCCTAAAAGAACAAAAATCTTTTTGACAATATCCACCCTACACCTGCCAAACATCAACCCAAAAACTGCACCCACTTCATCCTTTCAGTGGGGCAAAGCAGAGAGATGATCTTCCACCTCACTTCATCCGCATCCCACAGAAGCAGGTGGTTGTGCTCTGACACCCCCACCCTGCGGTGTTGGCAAGGCTGAGCAGGGAGTTAATCTTCCATCTTCTACCCGGCAGAAGCAGACAGCACTCAGATTACCCTCCCAGGTGGTGTAGGCTGACAAGCAGGGAGCTGATTTTCCATCTTCCACCTAGCAGAAGCAAGTAGTGGTGCTTTGATATCCCTGCAGGTGTAGTGTCAGTGGGGTCCAGTGGCAAAGTGAGCTTCCACTCCCATCTGGCAGCAACCAGACTTAACCAGCTAGTGCAAAGAAGGGCTAGTCACCATTCAGCTTCACTGCCCTCCCCTAACCCCTGCTGTCACCAAGACCCAGAAGGATGCTGAGAATCCATCCCCACTCAGCATCAATGATTTCCCCTTTGTAGTGTGTCGAATGGTGGCCTCCAAAAGATATGTCTGTATCAAATCCTTGGAACCTTGAATGTGACCTTATTTGGAAAAAGGATCTTTGCAGATGTAATTAAATTAAGGGCCTCAAAATGAGATTATCCTGGATTATTTGAGTGGGCCCTAAATCTTATCACAAGTGTCCTTATAAGAGATACACAGAGAGAGACGTGGAGAAGAGGAGGCCATGTGAAGACAGAGGCAGAGAAGGGGGTTTTGCAGCCATAAGCCAAAGAACACCTGGAGCCACCAGAAGCTGGAAGAGGCAAAGAAGGATTTCCCCCACAGCCTTCAGAGGGAGTGTGGCCCTGCTGCCACTTTGATTTCAGACTTCTGGCCTCCAGAACTATAGGAGAATAAATTTCTGCTTTTTCAATCCACCAAATTTGTGGTAATTTGTTACAGTAGCTTTAAGAAGCAAATACACCCTTTTTGTTGTTAGCAGGGCTCAGTGGGGACCTGGGCTTCCACTCTTATCTGGCGTCAACGAAGTGAAACAGGGTGGTGGGACATGGGGCTAGTCAACACGCTTCTTCCCCACCCCTCCGCTGGTGTCAGGGCGCCCAGTGGGGAGCTGAGCTTGCATTTGCACTCGCAGGCAACACGGCTGTGCAAATCAGTGCCCACTTTTGCCAGGAAGGGAAGCTGAACTGCACTGAGGGTCAGTGCTCTACTTTTGCCAGGGTGGTGACAGCAGGGCCTAGTGGGAAGCTGACCACTCACCCAGCCCTTGCACTACACCTCAACTAGGGGACTGCCGGCTAAAATGGAAGATAAAACAGGATCCAGAGGCCTTCAGAAAGGAAAGAAGAACATCAGAATGGGTAAAAATAGAGGTGAAATTGTAATATATACTATTCTTGTGAGTATATTTGATGGCTGACAGAGGGGTAACAGCAATTCAATGGAGGAAGGACAGCCTTTCAGTAAATGGTGTTGGAGCAACTGACATCCAAAGGCCTTGACCTAACCTTGCACTTTATACAAAAATTAAATCACTGTGGAATGTGGACTTTAATGTAAAACATAAAACTATAGAAATGTTAGGAGAAAAATCTTCAGAACCCACGGCTAGGCAAAGAGTTCTTATACTAGACACCGAAAGTATGATCCATATGAGGAAAAAGTGATAAATTGATCATCAAAATTAAAAATGTATGCTTTGGGAAAGACCCTGTGAAGAAGATGAAAAGAAAAGCTCGAGACTGGGAAAAAATATTTGTAACACATTTCTGACAAAGGACTTGTATCTAGACTATGTAAAGAGCTTTCAAAACTCAACAGTATTAAAAAATCCAGTTAGAAAGTGGGCAAAAGACATGGACATTTCACTGAAGAGGATATGTAAATAAGTTCATGAAAAGATGTTCAACATCACTGGCCATTACGTAAATGCAAATAATGTGGAACCACACAGAGATATCTGTACATACTTAATAGCTAACATGCAAAAATATTAGTGATTATATCAAGTGTTGGTGAGGATGCAGAGAAAACTCATACCCTGAAGGTGGAAATGTAAAATGGTAGAGCCACTCTAAAAAAGAGTATGGCAGTGTCTTACAAAACGAAACCTGTGCTTACTAGGCAACCTAGCATTGCACTGTTTATCCCAGAGAAATGAAAATGTTCACACAAAAACCTGTACACAAATATTCACAGCAGTTTTATTCTAAATAGCCAAAAACTGGCAACAACCCACATATCCTTAAATGAGTGAATGTATGGCAACCCATACATGGAATACTACTAAGCAATACAAAGGAGCAAACTATGGATTCACACAGCTTGGATGGTCTCAAGGGAATATTGCTGAGTAAAACAAGCCAATCTCCAAAGGTTAAATAGTGTATTATTCCATTTATATAACATTCCTGAACTGACAAAATGATAGATATGGAAAACAGAATTATTGGTTTGCTGGGATTAAGGAAGGGGTTGAGGGAGAAGGGAGTGGCTGTGGCTTTGAAAGGGTAGCAGGAGGGATCCCTCTAATAAACCTGTTCTGTGTCTTGAGTGTGGTACATGATAAAACTGCATAGAATTAAACACACACACACACACACACACACACAAATGAGTGCGTGCAAAACTGGTGATACCTGAATAAAATCAGTGGATTGTATCAATGTAGATTTCCTGGTTGTAATATTATACTGTAGTTATGCAAGATATTGCCATTGGGGGAAACTGGGTGAAGGGAATATGGCATCTCTCTGTATTATTTTTTACAACTGCATGCAAATTTACAATTATCTCAAAATAAAAAAAAAAATTTAAATATAAAAAAATTTTAAATAGCAAAATAATTGAACGAGTCACAAAACTACAAAGCTATCTCATAATCAATGGCATTTGTTTTAAAAATTTTGATTTTTAATTACCTATCATCTCATTACTTACCAATATATAGTTAATGTATTTACATTATAAATACTTGTGTTACATGCAATTTCTGTAGTCAAGATTTTCTAATCTGGTTCTGTGGATTGAAATGATTGTTAAGGAGACATTTAGCCCCAGGGGAAAAAGTTTCCTTTTATTTATAAATATTATATACCAAATCACAAATCTAAAGAGGCACTTGAAATGGAAATGGCTTTTTTTGGAATTGTGACTTGAAAATCTTCTGATGTTTCACAGAAAATAATGTCAAAATTCAAGTGTAGAAAGATACAGAAGTACCATTCTCATGAGGAATGATTAGATCTTTCAAAGCAAAGTCACTTTTAACCCCTCTAATAATCACTTGCTAGCTTCAGATGTTAGTGTTCTAGCCTCCTTTGTGTGCCAGAGGACTCACAGAAACCCGGGGGGCGGGCAGAGGGCACAGTGGGGGAGATGCTGGGAAGCAGCAGAAAACCACGTGATTTTGAAGAGCAGCTTAACTAAAGGGAGTCTCTGCAACCTTGGATGTTGGTCTCTCTTCCTAACCCCCTGGATTCTGAGTATTTTTCCTTCTCTAAAAAAATTTTCAAAAGATGTAATTAAAGATGCAATTATACTATGATTTAGAATGTGCCTTATTTTGTGAGTATGCCACTTTTACTGTTTTCCAATTTATACTGTACTCTTAGACAAATGTGAGACTTTTAGCCACACACAAACTCCATAAATACACAAATCTCCAA